ATGCACACGACCCCTCTTGGCTATTGCAACAAGATTGCAGAAAAAAAAACAGCTAAAAATCCAAAGGTAAAAACTCAAAACTCAGCATTCTATGTACTGCCAGCTTTACACTCCATACATTTCAGTCAGAACCAGAAGCTTTCTAATTAACCAATGGCCTTTCTGTATAGCTACCTCTTGAAGTATTTACCTATTCTCTTTTTCAGTACATTAAGTGCAGCAAGATTCTTCATTAACACAGTGTTTCTCAATGCAGTCCTTAGGGACCGTTGGACAGTCCACAGTTTTGTTACCTCCCAGCAACTCTGAACCAGACAATCAAGCAATCAAGACCACCAGACACCTGGTACAGGTGATTTGGGAGCTGGGAGGGAACAAGAATGTGCACTGTTTGGGGGTTCCAGGAAAAACACAACATCCCTTACAGTGGAGATAGCAGGCAGTCAAAGCATGCGTCTGTGTGCACGCACGCGTGAGCCGGTAGCATGTGGGAGTCTGTCGTCTGCAGCCTGATGTTTCACCGAATGCTAATTTGTGCAAATGAGAGATTAAGCTGCCAAGCAGTGATTCTAAATGAGTTCTGAATATCATGGTATTTAGAGTCACTCTCCTTGTAGAATCACATATAGAGCTGAACACCCTTCCACTGGGTAAATAAATTGATAATCTATAGTGCCTGATTCCAAAATTTATCAGGCCAGTTGCATGTTTGTTGCTGACATATTTACACCAGCAAATGGCAAAATATGATTAGCAACAAAGGCATTTTTTTCCTGTGGAATAATAAGTATTATTTTTGTGCATTTAAAAACCTGAACACATTCCCCTTGAATTGTCCCCAATGAGGTGAATCCACATGCTCTCGTATTTGTAATCAATTTTGCATTCTTTTTCCAAATGTCCCAAAGCTCATGTGCATCCTTGGCAGTTCCTGCACCTGCCATTTGGACATTTGTCCGCTCCAGCCTTCGTGAGCATGAATTCCGGCTTGATCATGCAGAGGTGTAACCTGAGCTGGAAGGACAGCACGGCACATGAGATGCTCTCTGACTTTATTTACATACATGCAATGATGCTGATGTCATGCGGCTTTCCTGCCAGTTTTTCGTTGGCTTCTATTTAAAAGTGAAACCTTCCTGCCACTACACATGTCCCCATCTCTAATTAGTAATTACAAACTCAATCTAGTGCAATTAAAAGTGTTCTTTATTTCATGGGCATCTAAGTTGTCTATCCATTCAGTATCTTATCATGTCTTAAATGCTTCTGCCAACCCTCCCATTAGAGCAACAAAACGGCAACAAAACACATTTCAACAATAAGGGAAAACAACCGATGAAGTCTTTAGGCACGTTAACATCGGTGGCTGCCAAGAGAAGTGATAAGATCTAATCTTTGTCAAGATGCACTGAGACAGAATGATCCTCTAGCAAAGATGAAACTTCTGTTAAATATTCCTTCCTTGCTGTACCATTAAGCCATTAATGACAAAATAAGCAGATTGAAGCTGAAGCTTATTGTGAGGAGCAGCCCTTTCCTTTGGGCAAGTGTTGTTCTCTACCACAATGTAGCCCTGACAAGCATGACAATGTCGCTGAGACCAGTTTGTCATTCTAGAACCTTCCGAACTGCCTTTATGTTTTGTGTCTGATCTTTATTTAGTAGGGAGTTTAATTCCAAGGACACGGCGTGAGCCACGCCGTTTGATTTTGCTTTCCCTTTGCTGCTCTTCTCCTCCTGAAAGGTAGCGACTTGACAACATAATACTGTGGCTTGAACCAGCACAGGGAATAGACGTTTTTGTGTTTCCATGACCGATATAATTTAGCTCCTAATATGAACAAGCCTGCAGAGCCGGCTGGCTGATAGAGAGCCGAGACTTTAACCTCGTTACCTGACAATCGCTCCGTTTCACCGGGATGGGAGAAAGAGTGTTAATTAATTACCTGTGAAGCGCCGAGACAGAAGGTGTTCTGTTGATACAGTTGTTCTTCTGCCTGCTCTGCCTGGGACATAACCGTCATTATATCACAGCCCAAGCAGCGATAAAGACTATTCTTGCTGCTCTTCTCTCCGAGATGGTCACAGATTGCGACTCCTGGGGAATTACCCTGGGCCTTCAACCTCGAAGGCGATTCACTTCAAAACCTGTGTGTATACACATAACATCTCATAATCACAGAGTAACTCAAACACCAAAGATTTAATTTCAGGCTCTGGTGTGTAAACATGGGAGAAAGGCCGTTAAAATATTAATCACCCCGGGGTTGTAAGGCCAATTACAGTGTTTAAGGGAAAGAATATCAATTCAGGGGTGTGAGCGGAATGAAATTGAAAACAGAAAAGGCAATTAACCTTGGCAGAACATGCACAGGACTGCAGCCTGCGTCATTCTCAGGGCTCTGACAGCTTCTAGCTGGCATGCAAAGAATCTGTAGGTTCCTTCCCTCCCTCAGACGCAGTGTACTGAGCCAACCACCTTAAATATCCTCTTACGGCATCACTGCCGAGCCCCGCTGTGTACATTAACCAGACCGGAAGGAGCCCGACTGAAAACAAATACTTGTGCCAAGACCAGACAAAGAGATCAGAGCCAAGACTGGATCGAAACATAATTTTGTTTTTTTTTTTCCCAGGCAAGAATAAGAGATGATGTACATTCCTTACACACACAGCTTATTGTTACACCGTAACTCCTGTTGACTGAGGGTTACCATACGTCCGAGTTTCCCCGACGCGTCATCTTTTTGGGTCCTTCTCCGGGCCTCCAGGTAGTTTGACAAAAATCGGGGCTTTATCCAGGATTAGCTCTGTAACCCGTATGACTCGGTCTTTCAAGTTACAGTGGAAAGTAACTGGGAAAGGCACCAATTTTCAATGAACAGCAGCCACTCAGTATCGTCACAGCATCTGAAAGGCTCGTGCACGTGTTTTCTTTAAATATTAACGATTTGCGCATCACTGCGTGTCACCCTGCTCATGAGTGACGTCAGTTGGCACTTTGACACTTATTTTTGAATTCGTCTGAACAGTAGCTTGCATTTAGCGAACTTTTTCGCAAAATGTTTTTATTAATATGATTTATAAAATCAAGATGTTTTTTTTTGTTTGTTACAGTGAATGTTCGTAAAATTGGGGTTCATCTGTGTTTTGTTGACAAACATTCAAAAATGAACATTTCCTAACTAAAACGTATTTTATTGTATTTTGTTTTTTAAGTTAAAATACAATTTTTCTTAGTTTTTATGATAAATTGCTAGTATTTAATGGCTGTGACTGTTTGTATGGCAAAGGCAGAAGCCATTTCAATTTCTTTTACATTTGTGACATTTTGTGAGCGACAGAGCTTACAGAATTCCTTAGACTCTCTTTACTATTCTGTAGCTCCTTGTAATTGTCCTACCTTCACACGTAGGTGAACAGGACCTGCTACATGCACAGTTCATTAGGTAATGCTCCCGTCCAGCATCGAATGGTCACCTCTGACCCCACCCAGAACGACGCCCACTAACGCAAGCCTTCCCAGCCCCAGACACTCCTTCCCGCTCACGTCCGCGCGCCATGACTAGTGGCAACTGTTCAGCTCCTGTAATTACAGGACTTCAAATGAAACAAAACGACTGGATCCCATATCATTTAACAGGCCGTTCCGCCCTTCTGTTATATTAGTGATATACAATTGATGAACTTCCTTGTTTTACCAATAGTTCATAGTTCTGCTGACTATAGAAGGGGCCAGTCCAAATCTCAATGACTCACTCACCTCCTGATCAGTAATGCATAATAACATAATGGTTGTATGGGTAATACTATAATAATATTAAGCTCTTTTATAGGACTTTAACCTTCGCCCTGTCTGAGCTTTCTGTACGCATCTCTTATGTTAGACGTGCTGGGACCAACCCGTGTCTTAAATCAGCCATAAAATTTTTTATCATCTAATTTGTTTCTTACCTCTTGGTTACCTTGCTAGGCTACGTTATCCATGAAAATATTGGTTTTAATATTTTTGGTGTGGCTTTCTGGACCTTTCTTTTGACAGCATACGTCTCATTTTCAAAAAAAAAAAAAATGGTAAAATAGACCTCAAGAGAATTACCGTATATAAATAAACTGAATTGGTTTTATCTTTCCTTACATGTCTGGGCATGCTTTGCCTAGTGAATTTTGTTTTATGTATTAATTTTTTAAAATAGATACTCCTGATGCAGTACACAAATTTATGTGGTGCTTTTATGCATTTAAAACTTAAAAAGGGGTCGGCATTGACCCCAACACCAGAGCTGTTATAATGTTGACCAGAGCATTTATAATTTAGTGATTTTTTTTTTTGTTTAAATAGAGGTTCCTGACAAAGTCAAAAAGACTTGATGCAGTAAACAAATTTATGTGGAGCTTTTGTGCATTTAAAACTTAAAAACAGGTCGGTGCCGACCACAACACCACAGAAAGGTTAAAGTGAATAATGCCATCACATGAATTACATGTGCGTTCCAAGTGGCTAAATGCAAAGAGTAACCTTGTGTAAAGAATCTGATTCCTCCAGGAGGAACTAAGTATACAACTGAGTATATAACTGAGTATATAACTGAGTATATAACTGAGTATATAACTGAGTAAGACACTTTACCTAAACAAAACATGCATGAAGACATATATGTGTAAACATGGATAGTGCAGCATCATCCCTCCAGGTCTGAATCCCCCCCCCAGGTTATCCAGGTGCCCCCTGCAGTCCAATAACATGCAGTTTGGTGAAATGGTGTCTTTGAATTGCCCATCGTGTGTGTGTGAGTGTGAGTCCTCAAATAAACATGGTCCCTTCTGCCTTGCGGCTATGGATAGATATATAAATGTATGAAATTACAAAATGATATGTCTCTTGTGTAAAACATTAGGCCACGCAACCCAATAAGAAGACATAAAGCCATCAATCCCCCTCATTGCCCTTACGGTCTACCCTCCTCGGTCCTAATGCCCTCCTCCCCTCTCCCCTGCAGGCTTCGGGATGACCACTCCGGTGACGGTGGCAGGCAAGGTGTTCCTCATCTTCTACGGCCTGCTGGGCTGCGCCGCCACCATCCTGTTCTTTAACCTCTTCCTGGAGCGCATCATCACGCTGCTGGCTGTGGTGATGAAGGCGGTGCGCGAGCGGAGGCTGCGTCACGGAGGCCTTCTGCCCCCAGGGCTGCGGCACGACTTCACTCACGGCTACTTGCCGGGCTGGAGGCCCTCTGTCTACCACGTGATGCTGATCCTGGGCCTGGGCGCTGCTGTGCTGTCCTGCTGTGCCTCAGCAATGTATACGCCCGTGGAAGGCTGGGCCTACCTGGACTCACTCTACTACTGCTTTGTCACCTTCAGCACCATCGGATTTGGTGACCTGGTCAGCAGCCAGCGGGAAGCCTACCAGCACCAGAGCCTGTACCGGCTGGCCAACTTCCTGTTTATCCTGTCCGGCGTCTGCTGCATCTACTCGCTCTTCAATGTCATCTCCATTGTGATCAAGCAGGTGCTGAACTGGATGATCCAGCGCATGGGCTGCCTCTGCTGCCAGCGATGCAAAAAGAACGGGGCTTTCCTGGGCCGCCGCAACGCCATCCGGCCCGGTTCTCGCATCCGGCGCGGACGCTTCGCCCGGCCGGCCAACTCCGATGGCCCCTGTGACAGTGACACGGAAGGGCGGCGCCTCTCTGGCGAGATGATCTCCATGCATGACCTGACCGCCTCCAACAGAGTGTCGCTGGCCATCATGCAGAAGCAGCTCTCGGAATCGGCCAACGGCTTCCCCAGGACCGTGTGCGGAAGCTCGCGGCAAAATGGCTTCTCTGGGGGAGTTGGGGCCCTGGGCATTATGAACAATCGGCTGGCGGAGACTAGCAACACCAGGTAGAGGCAAGAGGCAGCCAAGGGTGGTGGGTGGGGGGAGGGGGTGTTGAATGGAGAAAGAACTTTGTACCTGGACAGAGGGAGGAAAATTAAAAGGATGGGTCAGGACAGACATATGGGCCAACGTAGCTGCTCTAAGGTTCCCAAACTTCCAATGGGTCTCTGAAAAAAGGGTTCCATGGACATGTGATATCAGAATATTACTCTGGACATGATTATATTTGTGATTATTTATACTAATACTACACAGAGTTGCTACATTCTGAGTACTTTAGTACTATTAGCATTTGATAAATTTTGCTTATACTCAACATTTGGAACTAAGTTTGCTTAGTAATAGGAAGTTCAATTTGGAAGCCATTATTAGATTTGGTTACATATTAGCATTTTTCAGTAAACTGTATGTTTAAACCTTCAAAATACCATCAGTTTTGCAAAGCTATTCATCCCAAGGGGATGGATAAAGTATCACTATTCTATTCTATTCTATTCTATATAGCACATTGTATTTTTCAACTATGCATCTTAAGCACTTCTGGAGGATGGTCATTGATCAAAGTTTGTTTAAAGACGGTATTGTGGGGAAATGTAAAATCAATTATTATGTATTTTTTAAATGAGACAAATACTGTTTTCACCCATTGACACAAAAAAACCCGAACAACCTCCTTCTTACTGAATGTTATAAATGAATAACGGTCCCGGGAGAGAGCCTTGCGGCACCTCTACAGAGCGCTGACTTACGAGCACCTGCATGCTGTGTCAGCATTCCTGAAGCATGTCACCAAGTGTTTTCCCCAGTATAGAGGCAGCCTTTGATCACACTTCATTGTAATTAAGGTCTGAAATGAAAGCTCCTTCAGTTTTGCCTGTTTTTGCTGCATAATTTCTGCTACTTGGGCTTTTATCATTCATTTGATTCATTTTGGAAGTAGAAGCTAAGAGTCCTTTGAGGTCTAGTTCTGAAATTACAGTTTAATAGCATGTCTCTTCTTTGTTTGGTTATCTCGGGTTATGTATTAATCCTACCAAATTTGTTGTACTGCTTTTAATCTCTAAATTAGTCAATGCTAACTCAGATTGGGTCTGTGCTCAGGACAAGCACTTTTGTCCAATTGGCAATGCTGTTTCTAGCTAATTATTATTTTTGCAAAAGCTATCTATTCTGAAAGGAAATCCTGCCCGCTCCTCGTCATGTGTCTTTCCCTATAATTCCACCTTTGCAAAAAATATGAACTATAGTGTTACAATGATAGTACAATTCTGCTTGGAATTGCAGTTTCATGGCCTGCTTCCCAAGCTCTGCAGGCTTTCAACCACTTTGAACCATATGGAAGTGCAGACAAAATTCAACCAAAAATAACATGCCCCTCAATGAAAGAGGAAACCTGAGAGGTCAAATTAGGGTCCCTGGAAAGTAAGAACGGGACCCTTAATATCTGAGACCATGGATCCCAGATGGTGCAGCTTTGAGGTACAGGTTCCCAGTTGCCCAGTTCTCCAGATGCCGCCCAAGAACTTAATTAAAACAACCGATGAAAAAACCTCATGAATGTCTCATCTGACCACAGAAGCGTGTGAATTAATACCATTAATGGTGCCACTGTTCTGCAGGAAAACGAGGTTTAAGGGAAGGGATTAATGGCTGCATGCACCGTTAGTTTGTGAGGTGAAAGCAGAGAGATTAGGAGCAGCAATCAAGCGGGTATGCTGAACGTGGATAACGATTCATTTAGGAGGGAAGAAACAGGAGTGAAGAGTCTGCACACTAATATTGCAGACGCAAATTCATACTCGTGTAATTCTTTTAATACATATGGTTATACTGAGGTTAATACTGAGTAAAAAACATTTTTTTCCCTGTGTTGGATACTAAAAGCCTAATGTTAGCTGGTGCTGCTTGTCCATGATCCCGTGAGTAATCTCTGCCCGTCGTTTCAGGACGTGATGGGACATCTCACATGGCCGAAGCTGAATCGCCTTCACGGACGTAGAGAGACAGAGAGAGAGGGGGAGAGGCAGTTTGACTTCTTCATTGGATGACCTTGATGTTGCTGTGTTTTTTTTTTTTTTGGTGGGGGGAGTGGCAGTGTCAAACGGAGCATGATGGGGAGGGGGGGGGGTGGTGACAGAGTGGAGAGACTGAACGCAGCAGCGGAAGAGAGAGAAAGGAAAACAGATGGAGAGTGCTACGGAAGACTAGGAGAACTAGAGGGCCTTGTGGCAGGACCCAGGCACTGGCGGGGGGGGGGGGGGCAGGCAGGCAGGCTGTATGACTGCAGGGCTTTTCTGGAGACGGAGCTCCTCTGCAGGCCAGCAAGGCAGCCGGATGAGGCTCCATTAGCATAGAACTCCTGACGTCCATAGCTGAGCAGCCGAGATGCGAATCTCGCCTGCCCCCATCGCCCTGGTTCGCTTGCACCCCTGCAGACCTCACCATTACGCATTTAGTGTAAGTCGCTCTGCTGCTTTCGGAGTTACCAACCCCAACCATTGTATATAACCACCCCCTTCCTCCCTTGGTGTACATACACATCAGTTATCCTTATCGGTGCACCTCAACTAGACGATTAGCATCTAAAGTTAGGTTTCACTTTATATATTTAGAGCAGATATCCCAGACTTGTTGTATTCTGCACTGGTTAGAATAAAAGAAGAAAAAAAACCTCAGGTAGACAAAAAAAAAAATCAGGCTCAATATAGTTTCCTGCATGCAGTGATTGTAAAGCCATACAACACATATATATGTATATAGCAGAACATAAATATATTTTTATAAATTTGTGGGCAATTTAAATGCATAATGATGCCCATTATATGTACAGACAGAGAAAACCTGATGAGACTATGAACAGGATGAGCACTGTATCAATGGTCAGTCAGTAACAAGTAAGACAGCTTTCCTGTCTACAGACAGCTTTCCTGTAACTGACCAATGCAGCAAATCGGGAAAGGCACTGCTTACTGATGTTACTCGTGCAATGACTGGAGCTTAACTAACCAGCTAAATGTCCTGGCCCGACCTATATTAATATATGTTCAGTGTATTCTGGCTCAGTTAAGGCTCCTAGCCATTCTCTAGCAAAGCCTGCCTACCTCCCTCCTCACCAGGTATCACTAAGTGCTCTGATTTCTCATGTCTCTAACTGAAATGGAGTAATCGGCTTGTTCATAACCCCGCCCCACCCCTGCCTTAACCCCGCTAATGGTCTTGCTGTGTTGCTCAGTCGCAGTCCTAGTTCTCCATAACCCCTCGGTGTGGGGGGAACGAAAAAAAGCACGAGCGAAGCGGAACACGTGTCACGTGTACATGAGCATGCAGGCGTGTCATTGCGACGCCGCAACGACGAGGCGCCGAAGACCGCGTGCATGGACGTCTGAGGGGACGCCACAGCACCAGACAGACGCTGGCCTTCAGTTACAGCTGGAAAAGCACACTGGAGGAGAACGCTTTGGTCGCTTTTTTTTCAGTGACCGGTCGATGCATTACACTTGTACAATTTTAAAAAGAACTGAAAGACTTTTTTATAAACCTTCTGCATGCATGGCTTGATCTTCAGCTGCCTTACATTTTCTTTGCAAATACATATATAAATATATACATATAAAGAAATTGTGCAAAATATGAAATAGGGTTTATAGATAGTTTTATTCTGTACAGTAATATCCTTTTGCATTTTGCAAAATCTATCTCCATTGATTACAATGGATGTTATTGTCCTGAATTCCTCTGTATCCTCAGCTCTGGCAGTGAGGAGGGTTAGGAACGTGTTTGTCTTTGTATGAGTGCATCTGAGAGGTGATGTCATTTCCTCTTCCTCTCACTACGTCTTTTCTCACACAATGCAGCAATATAAAAGCCAACTGTGTTCCAATTAAAGTTATGTAACCAATGTATATACTGTTTTGAGTATATGATATTGTTGTGAACACGTTTGACTGGTTTGACTGGTGTGTAACGAACTGTCATCTTTATTAGAACGGATTTTCAGCGGATGCCGTGATTGGCAGCTGTCAAAGCCACTAGCTCCCAGTAAGCATTTAATAAGCCAATCACATGTAGAGTAGCTGTATACCAGTCATTATTGCATCACCACATTGTTACATGTAGTCAATTACATGAAGCTTTTTACCAAAGCGTTTTACACTGATTTTTATATTCTAGTCCTTCACTGGAGCAGCAGGACTTTGCCACTATCCTACCTGATGCCTGGAAGAAAGGATTAGTACCGAGACTCAATGGAGATGTTTTTCATTCTGGATGCTTTTTCGGTCACCCAAAAATATTTTGAGTTTTCTTGTGGACAGGATACAGTCCTGTTACAGTTTTGAGGCTGCATACATCTGCAGTTTCACTAGTAGTTTGATTTTAATCTGAATTTAAGTTCTGAAATTCACCTACAGTACAACATTAGAATACAAAGGTGTACGTTAAATGATTTTACTGGGTCACAAATAGCTTGATGTGCAAGTAACTCTTAGTTTTCCATTGGAAAGGTTACCTATAAGTTGAAGCTGCTGTTTAATAGTAAACAAATTGCTTTCCGCAGTTATTCTAAATAGGCAAAAAGCTAAAGAGTCAAATCTGTTGATCTGGATGATTATAAATGACTGTTTGTTAAGGGGTTTGCCTTTACATCAATCCATGGAGATTATACCTGGCCATACGTTTATGGGCTGCTTAAAATTTCCTGCATGTTATTTGGGGAAAAAGAGAGTTAAAGTACTATATAAGCTCATTACAGCTCTGAAATTAGCTGCAAATGCATAAACATTGTTATGATGATAACAAATGTTTTTTTTTTTTTTGCTTGGTGCCCTTCAAATTTTATCTGAACAGTTGGAGGTGTCTGAAAAACAGCAGAAAGTACTTTGAAAAGTGATGCTCAATTTGTTTTTCCTTTTGTAAAAAATAATAATAAAAAAACCACCATTATGAAAAGCACTTCACTTTCTATCGTTTGCTCCAAGGTACCGTTGAGCACAAACAGAGGATTGTCAGAAGACTCAGAAGCCCGTCCAAAGATTACGTTTCTAGGGTTCAGCTTTAATCCGTTTCCGGTCAGTGGTTCCTCTTCCCAGCCCCTCCCCCGCTATGACATCACCTCTCGGCATGGCATGACAGCAACTCATTTTGCCTGCGTCGTGTTGTATCATTGATTTAATGAATGCAAACTGATTCTGGTTGCAAGTTGCACATTTATACCAATGGATTGTACTTTTATATTTATGTGATTTAAACTGAAACAAAGAAATTAACCACTGAAAAATAAATTTATTCTAAGCAAAAAATTTACCCAGCCTGATTTTTATGGGGGTGTTGCTGGTGGCTCTGGAGTAAACAGCTGTTCTTGCTGCTGTTTATGTTAACAAAGGAACCACATGAGAAGATATAACCACGTATCTCTCTTTTATAAACCATCCTCACTTTGACGTGTCCAACGTCTCATTCCTCACGCAATTTGATGATACTTCAAACTGAATGTGGTCACCACACAAACAGGCCTCTTTTTCAAAGTGCCATTTTGCCTTTAAATGTCACCAAGGACAGTTATGATGTAACAATGGGTTTTTCCAAAACATCCCAGTTGCCAGTGGTGACTAGTGTGCGTGTGTATGTATTTTCATGGTTACCATGGGCTTTGGTGAGCCTGCAGTGGTCCTCTGAGTCACAGATGATGCTCATTGTGAAGGAAAGCCCAATATCCCTGTGTTACTTGACTGATCAGACCAAATTGTTTTTCTGTCTGAGCCCTGGTGGGTGTCACAGGGAATCCTGCAGCTTCCTCTCTGCTGTCTGGAGTTGATCGAGAGTAGGCGCAACACATTGTGGAAAGGCCATCGCTGGATCTTTCTCGACAAATAATATCTATGGGGTCAATCACAAAAACATGGCTTTATAAGTGTATGAGACAGCATGATGAATTTTCATGGCCTTCAATTCATTTTTAGGGGAAATAATTAAATTTAAGAAAAATGTACATTGAATTGGTCAATGATGTATACAATTAGATTTCAAGATCCACTGGAAAGTGACAGTGTGCCATGTAAGGCTTATTAGGTGGGTACTGCTCGGCCGTGGCTGGTCATGTGACCTCATGCCCCTTGTTGCATTATCTCAGTCATGAGTGAGCATCCTGATGGCACTCAAGGCAGAAAGCCCAACATAATCACCACCAAAGCAATTACAAGTGAAACTGTGAAATCTGCCTCGAACTACAGGCCAAATTATTGTCTACTAAGCTCCCACGAGTTTTGAGAAATCACCCAGAATGTTAAACTTTGCGCATATAGAAATGCTCTGCCCTTCATTCCACCCCTTCAGAGTATACTTTTCCCCACGACTTGCTCAGCACAAACCTCCAACTCCCTGACAATCAGAAAGTAGCAGTAATGCACCATAAGACAGGACGCCCCCTCTCTCATCCTCTGAATATCAAACTCTGAAACCAGAGTCCGGACTTCTCCAGCTTGCCGGAGAAGCTCATACGGACTCACAGGTCCATTCTGATCAATTCACAGCGTGCTATCTTCACATGAACATCACCATTCCTTGTCTCGACATGGCGTGTGTGTCTATGCATGTGTCTGAGTGACCTTGTTTATAAATATAGTAACTATGTCATTATTATTAATGGGAAACAAGGGATAAATGAAAACAACATTAACATCTGTTATGCCTCTCACTGTCACACACACAGACACACACATATACAGATGAGAGACAGTGTGAGTCAAGGTCTGGTATATATTAGACAGTAACATAACATTTGTTACTTGTAGTTCTCATGTTGAATGCAGAAGAAATGGGCAGAGATCTGAGTGACTTTGACAAGGACCAAATCATTATGGCCAGAAGACTGGGTCACAGCATCTCTGAGGATGGAAAACCACAACCCACTTACAGGGCGGCAGCCAAGACTCACCGATGCAAGATATGAATGTAGGCTATTCTTATCCTGTGTGGTACAAACCAATAAAAGGGCTACTGTGCCACAAATTACAGATAATTTTAAGGATTGTCACCAGAGTAATGTGTCATCACACACAATGCACTGTGCCTTGCTGCATATGGAGCTGCATAGCCGAAGGCCAGTCAGAGGGGTCCCTGCTGCCTCCTGTCCACCATCGAAAGTGCCTACAATGGGCACGAGAGCATCAGAACTGGAACTGGCACAGTGGAAGAAAGTCACCTGGTTCAATGACTCCTGTTTTCTGTCGCATCACGTATACGGCCGGGTACATGTCAAGCCAGTCCACTGCTCCACAGTCCCATACGCAGCAGGACTCAATGTACTTTGTGTCGTGACACATTCTTCCCATGACCATCATTAAAATTATCTGCGATTTGTGCCACAGTAGCCCTTCTGTTGGATCGTACCAAATGGAGTAGCCTTTACTCATCTCGCATGGATAAGTCTTGGCCACCCAACACCATCAGTGGACTGTGGTTTTTCCCTCCTCAGACCACGGTCGGTAGGGACTCACCACGGCCGACCATGAGCACCCCACAAACCTTGCAGTTTCTGAAATGGTATGACCCAGTCGTCTGGCTATAACAATTTGGCTCTTATCGAAGTCACTTAGGTCTTTATCCCTGCCAATTTCTTCTATATCCCAGACCTTCACATGCACTGTTTTTACAAGATAGTCAATCTTATTTATGTCACTTGGGCGTGGTCATAATGTAATGGCTCATCAGTGAACATATACTCAACTAGAGGTTACACACACACACACACACACAAACACACATGCACAAGACCAGTTCGTATGGGCAGAAAGAAACCATCCGGAAGTTCATTCTGATTCGGCAGGAAAAGCACGAATTCTCCTACAATGATGGCACGTCTGAGAGGACGTTAAATTGCTGCTAAAATGACATTTATTGTCAATCACATGCTGCACTGTGGAGACAACAAGCTGTTGAACATTAGCCCCAGTCGACACTCATCAAAGGCAGAATAGCATCTCCCACGCTCAGAAGCACAGAACAGCTGAAGAAGCCTACAGCCATTTTTGGCCAACGATTCAGACTCTCATCAACATTTCTTGACAAGTTTGACAGCACAGGGATGCACTGGAAGGCAGGGACTTGCTTAACCAAAACTGTTGTTCAGGACAAGTCTCAGCCACAAACCCGAGCTTGCTGCCACATATAAATTTCCATTCCATTGATTCGAAGCGCCATGAATTAAAATGGTATAAGTAATCATCTGCTAACAATGACTCTGTGATAGTAGCTTCACAGCCCATCCACACAGAGCAACCTGATGCACATGCGTTGGTCACCTGTACCACCATTTACAGATAAGCGCTGACCATAATAGTGATGGTCCAGGCCAGGAGGCTTCGCGTCTCCCATCACTGCTCACCTCCTACAAATTTCAACCAGGCTGAAAAAAAATACGGAAAAATAAAGCAAGCAGTACATTCTAGATGATCCAGAAAGGCCTCTAGGATGCAACAAAACACAAGCAATAATAGAGATTTAACTAATACTGATATCAGGACCACTGTATGGTGGAGAATTATAAATTTTTTAATTTGACTGAAAAATGACAAAAGGTTGTAGAACCGGTGGAGGATACCGTCATCAGCGGAGGATACCGTCATCAGCGGAGGATACCGTCATCAGCGGAGGATACCGTCATCAGTGGATGATACCGTCATCAGTGGAGGATAACGTCATCAGTGGAGGATACCGTCATCAGTGGAGGATACCGTCATCCATTTCTATTGAAGTTCTCCTTATTGTCTACTTACATACTACAAATAGGACTATTATTGGAAACATGAATGTTCCCTTGGTTTCTTTGGTGAATCGTAACCAAGGCATGATACAATTATGTTCTTCATCCCCACAACAGAGACATGGTCATGTGACCCTGTCAGAAGTTTTGAAGCTTTAATGCTTCCCAGCTTCATCGACTAAATTTTTGTATCCTCAGAGCTACCGTCCTCTGTACGGTGCCATTATTATGACATGTAGACTGCATCAGGCTCATTTCTGTTTAAGAAAAAGGTAAATGTAGGGCCTTCTGCTGCCACAGTGGTCTCGGGTTTCTTTTCTGCTCTCCTGACAAACTTTGGAGACACTGTTCTTTCGTACATTTGTGGCTATTCATTTGACAGATTGTGGCCACGTTCTGGAAAGTTCCGTTGCACAGGCACATTCTCATGTCAAGATGTTTCTTTGTGTTCCTTTGTGATAGCATAGAGGACGAGTGGTGATTTCGGCCAACATTAATGGGCTTTCAGCCGAACTTCCTCTGTCTAGGATTTTAATGACTATGGGGGCCTGTGCTGGATATGTAACCCACCTACTGTCTGAGTGAGGGCTTCTTCGATGTTTCATTAATAATTGAAAACTTACATTTTATAAAATTGCTATCTTTCATAACATTGTTACAAAGAAAATGCATAGTGCAAATATGTGTGCTTCTCCTAGAGCATGCACCTAATCGCTGTTGTGTCCACCATTTGCCGAACAAGCAGGATGGGGAGAATGATCAGTCAAAACCGGCAGACATCCAAAGGACGGGGTTAATTTCGGGCAGACAGGCAACACGGGGTACACACGTTAATGACAGATCTGACGATACGGACTCAGACACGGACTTAAATACACAACACTAAGGGACGGAAATGCAAAACAACTGAGAACAATCAGGAATTCACATGAGGTAACCAGGGGGGCGTGTCACACATGAGGATCGTACGAGCAGGTCATGACAATCCCCTTTCTGTCGTTACATTTTTGTAACTTTTTATTACTGTGATTATGAACTGTTCTGGGAAATCTAGGCTTGGTCTAAAAGCTCCTTATTGCCTAACAGTATGTCAAATGTAGATGCTCGTGTGTAGCTGGACTTTCCTGTCTGATTTATGCAAATACCAAGATGGCAGCCATGCCCAAGGGGTAGCTCTGGGGCAGAAATTTTGACAATCCCCAGAGGAATAAGTCGAACATGATTTCTGCTGGGAAAATATTTGTGACAATGTGGCTATCAAGGCTAATGTCATCCACCACCGTGAAAGGCTACACTGAAGCGGAAAAAAGCTCTGGAATAGTTTTGTTGCATTTTATATCTCTTATCTTGCTAGACAGACATCTGCCCCCAGGCGAACAAGCTGTGTTTATGTTCTGTCAAACTCTAAACAGCACTAAGGATGTCTTACATCCAAATTTACACCACCGGAAATAATTCAGGGAAAGCATCCTTCTTTAAGATCTCATGTCTTAAATTCTTTCATGTTGATGATGGGGAAATTCAGTTCTAG